TAATAAAGGTTAAAGACAAATATTCAATAGCAGGGAATTCAAACGCAGTAAAAGTGAAATATCTTTTACTTATGATAGTTATTTTAATTATTAAGAAATGTAACCGAGCAAAGTTCTTTTAGCAGTTGTTGACAGCTGCTGCCTTACAAGTACTTTAGATGACACCTTTTTTCCCAAAACCTCATTTTAATGTTTACTTCTAATACCAATGTTATTGATAACTACAACATGAAATATTTTTGAAGAAAAACCTAAAGGAAAATTTAAGGGTAGTTTACTTGCACTAAGAATCGTATCTTAAACAAAGAGGGAACCACTCTTCATTTATGAAAGCTTTCCTTATTCTTTCGGAATGTGAAGAAAAGATTAGATGTTCACTTTTCATAAACATCGACACACTTTTTAGTCTTAAAAAGACCAATATGAAAAATTTTATAAAGCATTCTATGTAAATTGATATATTATAGAAAAAATGTACCTGATAACAAATCTTTAAAAGAATAATCAATGATGAAAACTGATTATTTTGTCTCCCTTATTAAAAAAAAAATAAACATTCACAGAGCCTAAAGAATTACAATATAAAAATGCTACAATTGGTAAAGTTCTTGGATGTCGAAGTCATTTTGTTAGATTTTTTTTTTGCTTATGACATCGTTCAGATACTCTCCTGTGTAGGAAATTGGTCATAGCATTTACTCTTGAGTCATGGATGAGGGAATCGATCTGTGCGTCGCGCGTTGGAATCTCACATCTAGACCTGGAAACCGGTCATTCGAATAAAATCGTATAACCCGATCTCCTTTATCACAATAAATGCTGACACACAAAAAAATATTCCTCAAAGCTTAATGGTCTTGGATGCAAAGTATTGTATAGGTCAAAATTTGCAGCCATTTATCGGCAAGTGCTTAACCAAAGAAACAAAGGTTTATTTGATTTTTATTACAATTGGAATGTCCTCTGTAGTCCACAAGAACCTTTGCAGTATAAACTAGGAGACTTATTGTTCACAGAACAATAAGAAGTCTTTCCACCTTCTTTGAATTTCATATTTGTTTTATATCTGACTCCTTAATATTAAATTCTATGAAAAAGAAACCAAAATTGTCTTAAAGTATAGAAAAAAATGAAAATTTGAAAAAAAAAATGGAATGACCTTGACCTTTGACCTTGAGAAAATGTTCAAGGTCAAAGGTCAAGGGTCACAATACAATTGACCCCATCCTTCTATATCTTATATTTTTCAAGTTATAAGGTTTAATAGTAAGTACAAAGAAGTTGAAGGGCAATAACTCATATGAGGGGTCATCAGACCTTTTCGCACTTTTACAGTGAAGTTAGGCCTAAAGTCCCTTAAGACATTAGTGAAAGTTTGGTGTCTCTACTGTCTACAGTTTCGTCGGAGTAGTGAAAACAAGGATTTTCGCACAAGGGGCAATAACTTTTAAAAGGGTTCATCTTAGGGGACAAGAATGAAATCTTTGAAATAGTTTTAAGAGTACATATTAATGATGCAAAGACATTAAGTATATGTTAAAAGACAAAAGAGATATAAAAAGGGCTTAATTTCTCATTTTTGGAATGACCTTGACCTTTAATCTTTGCATTAATTTTAAGAACAAAGGTCAATAAATCTTATGCAGTTGGTCCCATGTCTCTACGACTTCTCGTTTTGAAAATGTTTAATTATTTGTAAAATTCGAAAAGTTTCAGGGGCTATAACTCATTGAAGGGGTCGCCGAATTCTTTCGCAATGAATAGATTCCAGAGTCTCCTCAAGTAGTAGAAGACATTGGTAAAGGTTTCATACTTCTATGGTTTACGGTTTCCAAGGAGTAGCGATAACAAGGTTTTTTGTACAAAGGGCAAGAACTCCGAAATGGGTCATAGGTCAAATACGTTGGGTTGTTTTCCGAAATAACTTTTAATGTCCAGTATCATGAATTAAAAAGTTTTTCGATAAGTCTTTCGGTTCAAAAGTCCGTAGCGGAAAAATGATAAAAAAAACTAGGAGACTTATTGTTCAAAGAACAAGAGGTCTTTCCACCTTCCCTGAATTTCAATTTTGTTGTATAATTGATTTCTTTAAATTAAATTCCATGAATAAGAAACCAAAATTGTCTAAAAAGAAAGAAAAAATAAAAATTAAAAAATTGAAATGACCTTGACCTTTGACCTTGAAAAAATATTCAAGGTCAAGGGTCAATTGCAACCCCATTGTTTTCAAGCTATAAGGTTTAATAGTAAGTACGAAGACGTTAAAGGGCGATAACTCATATAGGGGGTCATCAGATCCTTTCGCATTTATACAGTGAAGTTAGGCCTAAAGACCCTTAAGACATTAGTGAAGGTTCGGTGTCTCTACGGTTTATCGTTTCGGAGGAGTAGCGATAGCAAGGTTTTTCGCACAAGGGGCAATAACTTTTTTAAGCGTTAATCTTAGGGGACAAGAATTGAATACTTGAAATAGTTTTAAGAGTACATATTAATGATGCAAAGACATTAAGTATATATATAATAATGACCTTGACCTTTGACCTTTGCATAAATTTTATGGCCAAAGGTCAATGAATCTTATGCAGTTTATTCGATGTCTGTACAACTTCCCGTTTTGAAATTTTTTAATTATTTGTAAGTTTCAGGGGCAATAACTCATTGAAGGGGTTTACAAATCCTTTTGTAATGTTACAGTGAAGAGTCTTCTTTATTAGTCAAAGACATTGGTAAAGGTTTCAAACCTCTGCGTTTTACGGTTTCAGAGGAGTAGCGATAACAAGCTATAAAGTGAAAGGGGCAATAACTTCAAAAGGGATCAAAGATCAAACTTCTTGGGTCGTTTTTCGGAATAACTTTAAATATCCAGTATCATGAACTATTAAGTATTTTGATAAGTCTTGCGGTTAAAAGTTAATTACGCATTTCAAGAGGTCTTTCCACAGAAAGGTGGAAAGACCTAACTAGTAGACTAATTGTTCTCGAACAATTAGAGGTTTTTCCACCTTCTTTGAATTTCAATTTCATTTAATATTTATTCTCCCTAAAATTAAATTTCATTAAAAAGAAACCAGAAATTGCTTAAAAGATAAAAAAAAAGAAATTTTTTTTTAAATCAGAAATGACTTTGACCTTTGACCTTTATGTAATATTCAAGGTCAAAGGCCAAGGGTCACATTGTAATTAACCCCATGCATGAATGAATAGTTTAAAAGTTATAAGGTTTAATAGTAAGGGCAAAAGTGTTAAAGGGCGATAACTCATTTAAGGGGTCATCAGATCCTTTCGCATGGAACATAAAAGTTGTGCCTAAAGTCCCTTAAGACATTAGTGAAGGTTTCATGTCTTTGCGTTTTACGGTTTCGATACCAATATGTTTTTCACTCATATATATAGGGTCAATTTTAAGGAACAAGAATGAAATCTTTGAAATAGCTTCAAGAGTACATATAATTGATGCAAAGACATTAAGTATATGTTGAAAGACAAAAGAGATATAAAAAAGCTTAATTTCTCATTTATGGAATGACCTTGACCTTTGATCTTTACATGAATTTTAAGGTCAAAAATTAATGAATCTTATGCAGTTGGTCTTATGTTTCTACTACTTCTCATTTTGAAAATATGTAATTATTTGTAAAATTCAAAAACTTTCAGGGGCTATAATTAACTCATTGAAGGGGTCACTGAATACTTTCGTAATGAATAGATTCCAGAGTATCCTCAAGGATTTGAAGACATTAGTGAAGGTTTCAGGTCTCTGAAGCTTACGGTTTTTAACAAGGTTTTTCGCACGGCAATAACTTTTAATAGGGTCAATCTTAAGGGACAAGTATGAAATATTTGAAATAGTATCTAGAATACATATTAAAGATGCAAAGACAGATTATATATGTTAAAAGATAAAAAAAAAGATCTTAAAAAAGCTTAATTTCTTATTTTTGGAATGTCATTGACCTTTGACCTTTACATGAATTTTAAGGTCAAAGATTAATGAATCTTATGCAGTTAGTCTTATGTCCCTATGACTTCTCATTTTGAAAATATTTAATTATTTGTAAAATTCAAAAAATTTCAGGGGCTATAACTCATTGTGTACTTTTAAAAATTTTTAATTATTTGTAAAATTTGAAAAGTTTCAATAATTCATTGAATTGCTTTTATTAGTCAAAGACATTGTGCGTTTTATTTCGGATAGCGATAACAAGCTTTGAAAGGGGCAATTTCAAAAGGGATCAAAGCTCAAACTTCTTGGGTCGTTTTTCGGAATAACTTTAAATATCCAGTATAATGAACTATTAAGTATTTTGATAAGTCAAAAGTTAAGGGAAGAAAAAGAATAATAAACATACGTTGAAAGGTGGAAAGACCTAATAAACAGAAGCATTTCAAGGTCAAAGACCTAATAATTGGGATCTTTTGAAATGAAAAAATCATTGTGTATGTGTGTGTTTTTTAAAGTTGAATTTCAGATGAACACTTAATAATGCATTATAATTTGGCATGGGTGAATTACTGCATTTATATTTATATTAAAGCTTGTCAATTTTGTTTTTTTTTCTCGAAATGAGATATTCAAGTTTGAGTTGTGTCATAAAATTCCCAAAATACATGCCCTACGGGGGTACCTAAAATTTGGCACATGCTTAAGGGATTTTTCCAAATTCTTCAATAAAAATCACCCTAGGGGAAGTACCTAACGTACCATACATTCATCACGTGTTTTTATTATTAATGAATTGCTTTGTACTTGTGCATTATGCTTTGACTTCAATCAGGTCACGTTGATCTTTCAGGTCACGTTGGTCTTTCAAATTGATATTTAAATTAACTTGTCAATCAAGAATTGTTCCATCCAATAATGTTATTTGTTACTTAATCCCACGTCATAGAAACGGAGATAGTATATAAATTCACAATCGAACTTACCCTCAGTTTGAAAAAAAAATTGTCTACTAAGATGTTCCCGTGTAAAGTCTTGAAACTTTAAAACCGCATGCAAAATGGACACCGAAGATGCCATCGCAATCGTTGGAGTTGGCTGCAAATTTCCAGGAGCAGAGGATGCGGATGAATTTTGGAATGTTCTTAAAAATGGCGAAGACCATGTTAAAGATATTCCCAAGGAAAGATTCAATGTTGAAGCTTTTTATGACAGCGATCCAGACGTGCCTGGTAAAACATACATCAGAAAAGCTGGATTAGTCTCTGGGTAGGAATTAAATTAAGGAATCATTAAAATTATTAAGGTGTCATTAAATCAATTTTTGAGCTGATATAAATTTTTAAAATAATAATAGTTAACTAATTTTCTTTTATTTCTTTATAGGTAGTCTTTCTACAATTTTAAATTTGTCAAATTTTATATAGATTTGGAATAAAACTCAGTTCTTACGTTGGATGTAGGCATAAAAAATTAAAGAAAACAATAACTTTAATTATTTTTAATTATAATTTTACCATATTAATTAAATAAGAATACATGTAATTTGAAAACCGTATCTCGTACTTAAATAATTTAGATAATCGAATTTTACTTCTATTTCATCATTATATCATTCACGAAGAGTTTTGATGTGAAATTTAGATTGTTTTCATGTTTGCAGGATCAATGAATGGGATTACAGATTTTTCGGAATTGGAGAAAATGAAGCAAAGAGAATGGATCCCCAACAGAGATTGGTGCTGGAGTGCACCTACAAGGCCCTGGAGGACGCCGGAATCACCAAAACATCGCTCAACCAATCAGATACAGGAGTATATATAGGTGTGTTCTTCGTTTCAATTTACATAGTTTATACTAAGTATTTTAACTATTTATTTAAATATTCCATGTCGTTTGATTATTAAATGAGTCAGATTTTTTTTTTTCTGTTTTATGGATAAAATTGTTCATTGACATGTACATGTATAAGAGGTTTTTAGATTCGATATGCATGGCTAGTAAAATATTAACATAAATGCAAAACCATGTCTCTCCATCAAAGTTAAGAATTAATGATTTAAGATATTTAATGAAGAACCAAGAGCGATAACTCTTAAAAATAGAAGGAAGAGAACCATAATATTTTCTGATTTAATGCGAGAAAATTCAAATGGAACTGTTCATGTTGTCTTTTCAAATGATATAATAGTTACAATTTATCAAAATTGTAATTGTAGAAGAAATGAAGGTATTCTTGTGTGAACATATGCGAACAAGGCAGTACCTAGAGATTTTTGATTTGAGTAAATTAATTAGCTAGAGATCTTTCTATACACGTATATATTTCAATGTATTATAACAACATTCAAAACTTTACGAGTCGTGTGCAGAATATGATGAAATTTTGAAAATAAAAGCAATTGTTGTATCTAAAAAAGATTTCTTTTTTCTATAGGCGTAATGAATGGAGAGTTTGAAGCAATCACTGGGATAGATCCTAACTTATTAACCAACACCTCGGTGACAGGCATTAGTAGAAGTATCATATCCGCGCAGGTTGCCTACTTTTTAAACCTCCATGGACCGGCAATGTCTATAGATACTGCTTGTTCGTCTTCACTTGCAGCCATCCATACCGCAGAACAGGCCATTAAAACTGGTAAATTAACATGCTTAGTTTGTTATTAAGTAAACATTTTTTATATATATATATATGTATTGCGTGTATATTTTTTCATCATTAGATTATACAGTAAAATACCTTTATAGCGAGTACACTTATAACAAATTAGCGCTTATAACAATGTAATTTTGTTTTCAATGGCTTTTAATTATGTTTTTTTAAGTTGACGAATAAATGCATTACGTTTTAAGGAAGTAAAATCGTCGGTTAGGTCCCTGGCACTATACTTTAACATTTTATTGACTGTAATGTGTACACCTTTTTTGAAAAGGTGAAATGAAGATGGCGATATGTGGGGGAGTCAACGTTTTGTTGAGCCCAGCAACATCTATAGGTTTGTCTAAAGCACGGATGGCATCAAGGGCTGGAAAATGTCACACTTTTTCCCAGAATGCTGATGGCTATGTAAGAGGGGAGGGATGTGGAATTGTGATTCTGAAACGACTTGGTGATGTAAGCATTTTATTGTAAATATATTTTTAAAATAGGAAAATTCAAGTTTTGATTGAAGTTAAAAGTACACTGTACTTGAATTGTTTATCAATAAGTTTAATTTATATGACATATTTGGTAAAGATGTGAATATATAAAACTAAGATTTGCAAAAACGGCTATGACTTGAAAAAAATATTATTTTCTACTTCTATAAAAAGATTGCTATCAACGGAAATTTTACTGTTGAACTCAAATTACATGAAATTTCTTATTGTCTGTGTGGTGCAGTGGTTAGACCGTCTGCTCTAGATAGTCAATCCTTTTGTCGCGGGTTTAAATCCCTCTGTAGGACGGGAAGACCGGTCGTTTGGATGAGACCACATAATCCGAGGTCCCGTGTGGCAGTATGTGTTGGCAATAAAAGAAGCCTCACTGCTCTATTGCCCGGAGTACCGAGCATAGGTATAGATTTGCAGCTCACCACAGGCAAGTGGTGGCGTCTCCATGTGAATGAAAATTTCTCGAGAGGGACGTTAAAGAAAACAACAAACAAACGTAAAGTAAATTACGGTAAAGTAAATTAAGGTTAATTATATCTAAATTAAGCATATATGCTACAAAGTTTGATAATTTTGAATAAAGAAGAGGATGTTGCATCTGACTGACGTTTACTTAATGTATGTTCAAGTAGTCACAATTTATTTTCCATAGATCCATTTAACTGTATATGCGTTCTTTAATTAATCTTGCATAAATGTTGCTTTTTTAAAAATCCATGCCATACTCATGTTTTTAATGTTGCATAGTTTTTATTTTTTAGATGTATGATTTAAAATAAAACTCACCTTGAAGCAGGTCCATTTTGAGGTCGATTATTTTTTAAATGACTTATCATACAAAAAGGATGCATTTTATGATGTATCATATGTGACATATTCAGAAGTGATATATAACCATTTGTCATTCATATTGGCTTTTCTATTTACTTCTCCAACAAATCCTTTATACCGATATAATGGAAATTTCCTTAGTGAGATGACTTTGTGGGAATGATTTACCGGTAACTGTAGAATAACTGTATTATTTTTGGATGCATGATGTGATCAATCCAGTTGCTTGCGTGATAATTTGCATAAACGCATAAAATTATCATACAAGCCAATCGTTACCAAACCAAAAAGTCTGACAGTTTTTCCTTAAATTTACATGCTCTTGATTCCGCAATTTTACGTACTACAAGGCCCGCCTCTGTCTCTGCCCGGTCCTTCGGATGAGACCGTAAACCGAGGACCTCAATTCATACAATCTCATCCGAAGGACCGGTCTCCACGTCCAACTATGGGATTCGAACCCACGACATAAGGATCAACTCCTTACTTTGCGAATCTAGAGCAGACGCTTTAACCACTGCGCCGGGCGACAAATGGATTATGGAATTTATTTTTTTTTTTAAATCATTAATTTTATTCCTAGGCTATTCGTGACAACAATAAAGTATGGGCAATTATAGCCACTACCTGCAACCAAGACGGACACGAGAATTCTCCGATCACGGCGCCCGCCGGTGTTCAGCAGGTTAGGCTGTTAGAGAGAATCTTTGAAAAATCAGCCGTTCATCCCAGCAGTATACAGTATATTGAAGCTCACGGTATGCTAAATTTCTTTTTTTTAAGTTTTGAAAGGATGGATAAACTTACTGACTTGTTATCTAATGGAGTGTTTTCCATTGAGATAATTTAGAGTTATTCCCATGACCGCCGTATTGTAGGTCAACATTCCCAGATCCCTTCATTATTCAACCACGTTCAATTTGTTATACTGGTTACTGAGGTAAAGATAACACTTTTTTCTTATTAATATACGCTTGTTCAATCCCCTATTAATGTAATTCATAATTATAAGATCCCCCCATATATTTCTTGCTTGCATGTTTAAAATTGTTGGCTAAAAGGGAAAAATTCACTACTTTGCCCTACAAGATGGCGACTAAGGGGAATAACTATGAGGTAAAACACGGCATTGGAAAACGGTCAGTTGAGTACATTGATGAACATGAAACTTTTCGGATCAAAGTTCAAAGCCATAACAAATACTTATCAGATGTCTGTCGTGAATTAAGCATTAAAGCTGATTTTTGGAACATTCTCAATTGTTCCAGTTAAATCCGGTTTGATTAAAAAAATCGTTTAGGATCAGGCAAAATGTGTGAATTTCTTGATCTTGGTACCTATGACGTCAAATAGGGCGGTTTAAATTCAAGGCATTTGAAAAGAATTTTTTATTGAATTTAAAAAACACTTGAGTCATGAGCCAACCTTGATTCAGTATAAATTTTCAAATCACGTGTAGTAAAATGACATTGGATGAATATCCTTAAAGACAAAGTACATGTTCACAAGTATACAATGCATCTTTCTCACAGTAGTTTACTAAGAAATATTTTTCATAGTATTATGAGATACATACATTATCAGGAGTCTTTACAAAATATAAAATGATGACAATCCTAGTATTTTTTTTAATGAAAAATTGAGAGAAAAGCAGGGGGTATATATTTATACGGGGGTCCGTCGTCTGTCTGTCCGTCCATAAGTCTTTACGCTCTCCCATTATACTTTGGTGTAAGCATCTCTTTTCCACAACTCTTTCTATACCACTGAATGTAATACATTAAGATCGAAACTTTCGCCGACATATGTCGTTTACTTATTTTTATTTGAAAATTAAAATAAGTACACGACTATATGTTCATTCTCCAATAGCAGAATACAGACTTTGCCATTATAATTATAATTGTAAAGGAGGAGGGGTTTAAATTTTGTGAGCTCAATGGAGGCACTTGCATAAAGCTACAGTAAGACAATATAGCTAAAATGAATTGCACAGCCCCTCCTAAATCTAAAAAAATTCAGTGATATTCGCTTCATTTTAAATTATGAATTTTTAAACAACCGTACATGCAATGTAGCTTTTATTTTATCCAGCTTTCGCGAAAGCGAGGGGACTTTTAATGTCTCGTCTGTCTGTCTGTCTCTCCGTCTCTCTAGCTGTCCGTCTGATACAGAACCTTTAACCTTGGTCATATCTTTTGAATAAAAAGAGATAGGCTTCCATACTATACAACCCCGCGGGGATCCGGGTTAGAATAGGTCCTCAGTACCCCCTTGCTTGTCGTAAAAGGCGACTAAATGGGGCGGTCCTTCGGATGAGACCGTATAAACCGAGGCCCCGTGTCACAGCAGGTGTGGCACGATAGAGATCCCTCCCTGCTCAAAGGCCGTAAGTGCCGAGCATAGGCCCAAATTTGCAGCCCTTCACCGGCAATGGTGACGTCTCAATATCAGTGAAATATTCTAAAGAGGGACGTTAAACAGTACACAATCAATCAATCAATCAATCCATACTATATACACGTGTATATTACTTGTGACAAGACCTTTCTAAATACACTATTCATTTTTACCCCATGACCTTGACCTCGTAGTTTGACCTCCTTAAAAAAATTAAACCTTATGTTGACACGGCCTTTTTAATTACACTATTTTTTTTACCTCGTGACCTTGAAGTTTGACTTACTTTTCAAAAACTTAAATCTAGGTCATAAATTTTTATCGAGAAAAGATTGGGCTTTCATATTAAAACTGTATAATGCCTGTGACAAGTCTTTTATATGTACACTATGATTTCTGACCCGTGACCTTGACCTTGAAGTTTTAAATGCTTTAAAAAATAAACATTACTGAAAGTTGACCATAACTTTTGTATGAGAAGAGATAGGACTTTCACATTAAAAATTAGCATTATCTGTAACAAGAACTTTTTATATACATTATGATTTTGTAAATCGTGACGGTGACATTGAAATTTGTCCTACTTTTCAAAAACTTAAAACCTTGGTCATATCTTCTGAATGAGAAGATATATTGCGTATTAAAGACCTTTCTAAATATATTCTAATTTATTACCCCTTGACCTTGATGTTTGACCTACTTCTCAAAAATGTTAATTTTTCCTTATTACTTTTGACTGAGAAGAAGGGCTTTCACATGTAACAAGATATATCCGAGCATGCTATGATTTCTGACCCCTTGACCTTCAGGATTGACCTTTTTTTCAAGAAAATCAACATTGGTGATAATATCTAAATGACATGTAAAGGGCGTTCATATTTGACACAATATGCCATAAAAAGTGAGATCTCACCCACAAAGACACCGAAAGCGGGGGACCACAATTCTTTGAATTTGCTTGTTCCTACTAATTTGAAAGCTAGTTGTGTGCTGTAGCTATTTGAACATTATTTCAATGTGTATAATGTCAATATAGGAAGTTCACCAGATAAACGGCTACATCTCATAATGTAATTTCAATGTAATTTGTATTTCCCGGACATAGGAAAGTTGCTCCAAGCACTATTAATTAATTAGTCATTTTATAGTGAAAAATCTGTTCATCGTTGAACTTTTACTATCCATGTAGCCCTACATATTTATTGTAATTTAAAACATGTAACGTGACAAAGAGCTGATGCAATTGAGATCACTTTGGCCAAACTTGGTGGAGACCTTAAACATATATATGCATATAGTACATTTCCTGTAATACAAAACTTATGCTGTTAAAAATATCAACACCTAAGTTATGTTTACAGAAATTTTTAAGGTTTTTTTTTCTGATGGGTGTCCTTTACCTAGTTGCAACTATATTTAAAAGAATCCTATTGTGAGACTTGGAAGTCCTGTTTTGAAGTGGGTGGTGGCACGAAAAAAAATCTCTCACTGCCCAATGGCACTAAGTGCCATGTGTAGGTCTGAATTTGCAGCTTTCCAGTGGCAAGTGTAGGTGTCTCTATACTAGTGAAAAATTCTCGAGAGAGACTATAAAAAACAAACATGTATCCTTCACATACTCGCACAGTAAATAGTGTTCAGGTGGAATATAACCTGAATCTTTTAGTCCTGTTTCAAGACAGGGGAGTGTTGGCAGAGTTCTTACCAGAATAGAGAATTTAAGTTTTGCATAAAATATTGTATATCTTTGAAAAACTTATTCTAAAGAAAAGCAGGACCAAGAGTAAT